GCCCGCGGCGCCGCGCCGCCGTGCCGCCCGCCTACCCGCTTCTTGTCCCGCAGCACCGCCTCGAGCCACTGGAAGTCGGCGGCCTTGAAGGGCACCAGCACGAGCAGCGTGCCGGGCTCGTTCTCGCGCCCGGGGTTGAAGTGCGCCGACTCCGGGTAGAAGAGGCGCATGGTGGTTTTGGAGCCCACGTCCTGCTCGTAGCCGTGCACCGGTGCGTTGTTGAGCCTGCGGGCGCCGCGGGTGAGCGCCGGGCGGCGGCGCCGGGTGACCCCCGCGCCGCCGCCGCTGCCGCACCTGATGACCACGTCGTACGTGTCGATGGTCTCGCCCATGGAGCTGTTGCGCAGCCGGTGCCCGTTGCCCACCACGGCGCAGCGCCGGCACTTGAGGCTGCGGGAGAGGCGGGCTGAGCGCGCGGGGCGGCGGGGTGGCCGCTCGCGGGGCGCTGCCATGCGCCGCTACCTCTGGATGCTCTCGGGCAGCGCGTAGCTGGTGACCGACAGCAAGCGCAGCAGCACGTCCTCTGCGGGGGCGAGCGRAGCGAGACGGGCGCTGAGGCCGCCCGGAGAGGAGGCCGCGCCGGAGCCGGCCTCCCATCCGGCCACGGCACCCCCAGCACCCACCTCACCCCTTTGTGGGCATTTCTGAGCGCCCCCAGCGCCAGGGCCACCCGCTGCGCGTCCCCGGGCTCAGGAAAGCCAAGCAAGGGCGCCCAGAGGAGGCCGCCGGCCTCCCGCTCCCTTACCGCTCCCTTTGGTGCCRTAGGGCAGCTCGTAGGGCGACGGCGCCTTCGCCCAGAAGTAATCCTTGAGCTGCAGGAAGAGCGGGCGCTCCCGGGTGTAGCTGCGCGGGGCGAGGCGGCCGTGAGGGCGGCGGCGGGCACGGGGCCTCCCGTGCGCCCCGCTGCCGCCCGCGCCTCACTTGGCCAGCAGCTGCGCCGCCTTCCTGGCCACCTCCCCGGCCGGGCACGCCGTCTTGTTGTCTTGCACGGGGAAGTAGAAGCTGCCAAGGGGAAGGAGGCGAGCGCTGCGGCCGCCGCCGCCAAGGGCCGCAGATCCCGCAGATCTTGTGCTGCGGATCCAAGGGCGCACGCGCTCGGGGTGGTGCGGCGCGGGACGCGCGCGGCGCCGCGGCCGGTGCACTCACAGCGCCGGGTACCTGTCTTCCCGGGACATGGAGTACCAGGCCATGACAAGGAAGAGCGCCAGCACCGCCAGGAGCTTCCCTCCTGCGGGTGGGGAGAGAGGCAGGGGAGCGGCCGCGAGCGAGCTGCACCCTTGGGTGCGCCGGCCGCTTCGCGCTGCCCGTCCGGGGCACCCTCACCCCGGTGCCACCCGCCCGCACATCCCTTTGGAAGCCAGACGGCTGTGCATGGAGCGTGCGGGTCCCGAGCGCACCGGGCATCGCCAGCGCGTAGAGGGAGCCACGGAACGGGCCGCGCCGGAGCGGGGCCGCGCGCCAACGCGGAGCCCCCGCCGCGCCCACGCACCACGCGCTCGCCAACTCACGAGCCTTGATCATCTTGGTCGCCGGCGTCACCCGCGCGCGAGAGCCCTCATCGCGGCTGCCGCTGGTCACCTGCGAAGGCAGCAGCGGGAGGAGGAGGATGGAGGATCGCTCCAGTGAGGCCGGGGGCGCTGCCCGCGCCGCTTAGTCACCGGCTTTATRGCTTGGACTCTAGCACGGCCGCCCCGCGGCGCCCCGCGCCCCGGCAGCCGCCCATGGGGAGCGGAGCGGGACGCGGCGGGGAGCGCGCCCGGCCACCCCTCTGCGCCCCGCGCGCCGATGGCGACTGTTGCCTTTGGCTGCCACCCCATACGGAAGTGGTGCGGAGAGCCCAGGAGGGCACCTGGGCACCTTGGCCCCCTGCCCGCGCCCGGGGATGTGCCCCAGGGGGAGACGCGCGGCGGCCCCTTCCCTGTTTGCTCTTCACCTCTCCTCTCTCTAAATATTGGCCTTTCGGGGCGCGCGCTGTCCTGGGCAAACACGCCGCGCGCCGAGCTCGCCCTGGGGAGCGCCCACCGCCCGCCTTCCCCGTTGCGCCCGTGCGCCCCGGTGCTCCTGACACCGTGGGGCACCGCGAGCGGGCGAGGGGGGCACCCCGGGCGCCGGTGGCCGAGTGAGAAGCCGGGATCCGGGCACCGCGGGGACGGCGACGCTCCGGGCACCGGCACGGYGCGCCAAGGAGCGGGGCCGGGCTGCTTTCTTGGCCCGCGGTGCCTGGCGTAAACAAGAGGCGCCCCCGGGGAAGCRGCGCCGCGGCCTCCCCGCGGCACCAACCTGCTGCCGCTGGCACCGCTGGCACCGGAGCCGCACGCCCGGCACGCACAAGACGGCCACTCGTTCCTGGGCTAGCGAACGGGCGCACGCGCGCTACCCACCTGGCCGGAGCGGCCCGAGCCGCCCGGCTCCTCCATGCGCTTCCCCGGGGCGCAGCGGAGCCGTGCGCGGCGCACGGGGAGCCGCCCGCGCCCGCCAGGTGCCCGGGGCACCGGGAGGCGGCGGCTGCGGCACGCGGAAGCGCCTCGGCTCCGACGCCGCTTTAACGCCACGGGCGCCGGCGCCTCCCCCGCGGGCAGCCCGCGCGCTCCCGCCCCAGCCTCCCCCTGCGCGGATCCGGTTTCCTGGCACCGAGGGAYGAGCCGCTTGTCGGCGGCGCTGTGCCCGGGGAGCGGGCGCCTGGGGACGGCTCGCGGCGCCGCCGAGCGCCAACGGAGCCCCCGCGTCCCGGGACACGGCGCTAGCGGTTCCGCTCGGCACCAACGGCTCCCATTGGCACGTGGCCTCAAGCGGTGCCAGCTCCCCGCGTGTCCCCACATGCCACCCGGGCYGGGCCGGCTGAGCGGGCGCCCGCCGCTGAGGGCGGCACGTGCGCGCCGCCGGTTGGGCTGGGCCCGCGGGGAAGGYGGCAGCCGGCCGTACTTACGCTCCGTGCTGCGGAGGCGAGCGGAGGCGGCGCTCTCCCGGCGGGCTGCGCGGCGGCGCCGCCGGCCTCTCTGCCCCTGGCAAAGCAAGGGGGAAAGGGTGAGCGCGCGACGGAGCCCGCGGCTCCCTGTGCCCGCGAGGCCTCCGCGCCAGGGCCCTGGGATGCACGGAGCGCACGGTGCCCGCGTCCCTCGCTCCGAAATGCCCCGCGTCCCCTTGGAGCACCCCTCGTTCCTCCCTGGCGCCGGGAAAACAAGCGGGGCGAAGCGTCGCCCCGAGCGGCTCCCGCGCCATCCCTGGGCACCAAGCACAGCCCGCACGGGGCGGCCCGCGGGGCGTCCATGGGCGAGCAGCACCCGCAAACCGGGTCCGCTGCGGCAGAGCGCCCGCTCCGGCAGGGGAAAGGGCGCCCCGAAAGGCGGCAGCGGTGCCGGGCGCCGC